GTTAAATAGTTAAGAAGGGGGGAGGGGCAAGGGGGGAGAGAGAGAGGAGGGGGGGGTAGGGCGAGGGGAGCGCTGCGTGAGCGCTATGAGATGGGACGTGAGGCTGGGAGAAGGAAGTGGGTGGGGGTGGAAGTGGGAGGCCAAGAAAGCTGGGGCTGCGGGGGGAAATTAACTCGGAAAAGCAGACTAGTGCCCGATAGATATGATAGACACAACCATAAACAGTTAAGGTTTTACCTGGTTAATAACATACTTCCAATGATTGCTCAGTTTGTATCCATCTTCTCGGTTGAAGTTTTGTCTATGTTTATATATCTGGATGGCTTCATGAACAAACCATTGATAGTAGCCAGAAGGTTTGCAGAATACCTTGGTCTCGGAAAAAAACAATATCATGCGAGCCCACAGCGCTATAACAATGGTCAGCCATGCCAGAGGTATTGGTTCTGCCGTGTTTCAGATCTGCCTTGTGTTCGTGGACATGGCAGAGACACCACTACGAGACAAGAAGGCTCACATGATCGAGTCTCTCACCTTTCTGAAGAGATGCCGCGACAACAAGGTAATACCGACCACATTTACACTCACATCTGCTTCTGTCACTTCTCCTAATGCCAAACGGATCTTATTCAGAGCTAGCCTTTCTCTAATCTCAGAAAGGATAAGACTACTCCGTCTTGAACTTGATAATTTAGACAAATGTCTCCTACAATCACACTTACAATTCACAGATAAAATGTCCACATTTGATTGGAACCTTGTAGATACATGACTGCTTCTTCTGCCGCAACAATGTCTTAAAAATGTAAGGTTAACCTTATTGTTAAATTCAATAACTTGTCCAAAAATAAACCAGATCCACACGTTAAAAAGCTGGATATTAACAAGATTGTTATCAATCAGAGTAGCAGCACAATCTCCGATAGCCTAAAATCGGTACTAGCTAGAGGGCTGAATTTTGCTGCCACCCCCAAACACATCCCAGTTGATGATTTAATCGCCCACGTAGATGTAGCCCTCAAAGGCTTGGGACACATCCCGACAGACGTGGCAAGATCTGAAATAGCCACCATCCTTAAAAATGCTAAGAAATCTATTAGTAACATCAGCAAAGATGAACGCTCTGAACTCGCCAAATTGAAAAATAGAGATGACAGTCATCTTCTCAGCCTACAAGGGCAATGCTACTGTCATCATGGATAAAACCACATACAACAACAAAATCCAGGATCTTCTTAATGATGGCAGTTACACCAAAATCAACAAAGATCATATCAACCGCCTGACTACAAAAAACAACAATATCATTACCATCTTCTTTGGTTCTTTCGGTAAAGTCACGTAGAATGAGAATAAAATAATAAATTGATAAAATAAAATAACACAATAATATTCTCACGACGTTTCGGCCACAACACAAGCGGCCTTCATCAGGTGAAGGGAGCGAGACTGTCTGGTAGGACAGCGCTGGAGTGAGAGAGCCACGTTCAGATCACGGCTTTTAAGCTGTGTGGGAGGAACAAAGAGCCTTGACGAAGGAATTAGCATAAAATTTAACATTGAAAAGGCTGAATGATTAGCTTGTGACTGGTCACAGAAATAGCTATGTTAAAAGTTAAAGCATACACATCCGCAGAGGCACCCATTGTTAAAAGGAATTAGCATAGAATTTAGCATTGAAATAGCTAAATTAAGGCATTCGCTTGTAACTGCTACAGAAATAGTTACGTTGAAGTCAGAGCATACACATTCACCGAGGCACTTAGTACAAATCAAAACAGGAGAATTTAGCATTGAAATAACTAGGCGAATTTAGCATTGAAATAACTGGGTGATTTGCTGGTGACTGGTCACAGAATACTATATACTATATAGTGAACCAATAAAAACTAAAATATAAATTACCTTCATGTTATCAATAAACTCTATATTCTCCAATCAGCTAAGCTACCAACCATAAGTCGTTATATATCACAATGCTATATGGCGAAAAAATGGGTGGATTCTTACCCTCAAATTTCCGTACCACGGATAGCTACGGGCCCCGTTCAGACGGACGAGTTCGTCCATGGTCGGAACAGAGGAGGGGGAGAGAGACAGCTGCGAAGCCCTAGTATACTAGGGTATACTAGGGCTTCGCAGCTGTCTCTCTTTTTCGCCATATAGCATTGTGATATATAACGACTTATGGTTGGTAGCTTAGCTGATTGGAGAATATAGAGTTTATTGATAACATGAAGGTAATTTATATTTTAGTTTTTATTGGTTCACTATATAGTATATAGTATTCTGTGACCAGTCACCAGCAAATCACCCAGTTATTTCAATGCTAAATTCGCCTAGTTATTTCAATGCTAAATTCTCCTGTTTTGATTTGTACTAAGTGCCTCGGTGAATGTGTATGCTCTGACTTCAACGTAACTATTTCTGTAGCAGTTACAAGCGAATGCCTTAATTTAGCTATTTCAATGCTAAATTCTATGCTAATTCCTTTTAACAATGGGTGCCTCTGCGGATGTGTATGCTTTAACTTTTAACATAGCTATTTCTGTGACCAGTCACAAGCTAATCATTCAGCCTTTTCAATGTTAAATTTTATGCTAATTCCTTCGTCAAGGCTCTTTGTTCCTCCCACACAGCTTAAAAGCCGTGATCTGAACGTGGCTCTCTCACTCCAGCGCTGTCCTACCAGACAGTCTCGCTCCCTTCACCTGATGAAGGCCGCTTGTGTTGTGGCCGAAACGTCGTGAGAATATTATTGTGTTATTTTATTTTATCAATTTATTATTTTATTCTCATTCTACGTGACTTTACCGAAAGAACCAAAGAAGATGAATCATTGCAGTCACGAAAGCTTTAAATCGAAATATCATTACCAGTTCGACTTCTCTAATCGAACCATTCAATCGGCTCTCCCTAAAACCTTCTGCTACTAGACCACCCAGATTCTATGGTCTTCAAAAATCCATAAAGAAGGCACTCTACTTCGGCCGATCGTTTCCACTATCAACTCAGCTACCTACAAACTGGCCCGTTTTCTGTTAGATACCTTGCTTACATTCACAGGTATGACTACCTCAGCAGTACGTAACTCAGCTCACTTGGTCTCTCTAATCAAGAGCAATTCACTTTCCCCAGATGATTTGCTCGTCAGCTTTGATGTAGTTTCTCTGGTCACCAAGGTTCCTGTACCTGACACCTTAGCAATAATTGAAGACTTAATACAACATGGACTGAGTCCTGATGTACCTACTCTAGTTAGGCACTGCCTTACCAACACTTACTTCACCTGGAATGGTTCTTTCTACAAACAAATTGAAGGTACCCCCATGGGTTCCCTCTTGTCACCAGTGATTCCGAATGTTTTCATGGATAAATTTGAAACAGATGCCATCCAGACATCCACCCTACGTCCTTCCTTGTGGAAGAGATATGTAGATGACACTTTCGTCATTTGGCCACGTGGCCTGCCAGCTTTGAACCAATTTCTCAACGACATCAATTCCATACACCCATTCATCTAATTCACCATGGAAGTGGAGAAGGATGGTAAGCTACCATTTCTGGATGTTTTGTTTGAGAAGAGACCTGACGGCTCGTTGGGACACTGTCTACAGGAAAGCCATCCACACACATTCCTATCTGATACCTGATTCCCACCACCATCCGGGACTGAAGACTTCCCTCATCAAATCATTACACCATAGGGCCCACTGCATTTCTGACCAACACCACCAAAACTGGAACACGTACACCAAGCCCTCAAGATGAATGGGTACTCGGACAGCATTATTCGCAAAGCTGTTTCTCCAACCATGGAGAAACAACTCCATGAGAAGCCCATCAAAACCATCATGTTACCATACAGGGCATGTGTTACTAATAATATTTCCAAAATCTTAAACAAACACAAGATCCAGGTCCGATTCAATACAGTACACAATCAGTGATCTAATCCCATCTGTGAAGGAGGTCATTCCTGATATGCAATACCCTGGAGTCTACAAACTGAGTTGTACCTGCGGTAGCAGTTACATTAAGGAAACGAAACTACATGTCTCGGACCGGGTTCGCGAACACAGCGCAGATCTGAAACACGGCAGAACCAGTACCTCTGCCGTAGCTGTCCATTGTATAACGCTGTGTGCTCGCATGATATTGTTTTTTTCCGAGACCAAGGGACTCTGCAAACCTTCGGGCTACTATCAAAGATTTGTTCATGAAGCCATACAGATATATAAACATAGACATAATTTCAACCGAGAAGATGGATACAAATTGAGCAATCATTGGAAGGATGTTATTAACCAGGTAAAACCCTAATTGCGTTATGGTTGTGTCTATCATATCTGCTGGGTACCAGTCTATTTTCCCGAGTTATTTTCCCCCCGCATCCACAGCTTTCTCGGCCTCCCACTTTCAGCCCTGTCCACTTCCCCCCCCCCAGCCTCACGTACCCTCTCATAGCGCTCACGCAGCGCTCCGCTCCCCCTACTCCACACCCCCCCCCTCTCTCTCCCTCCTTGCCTATCTCCCCTTCTTAACTATATAACCACTTGCCACGGCAGCTTTCTCTCCCACTTCAGCAAAAAAAAATCTTGCTGTCGTTTTCCCACATGTTGATAATTGCTTGTGTTGCAATAGAAACGTCGTGATTTGTTTTATTTTAATTTATTTCTAATTACGTGACTTTACCGAAAGAACCAAAGAGTAGTGTAGTGACTGAATGGGGTTGCATTTGACTCTGTGCACAGTTACTAAGTGAGGATTCTTACAGGCAAAAATCCGCCAAAAAGTCTTTACAAGCTGCTGGGGCAAGTGCTGTTAGAGAGCACCTATGAAGGCCGGTATGGTATATGATGGGGTGGGTGACCAGCATCACGCCTGGCGGCCATTGTCTCACAAGTAGCAATATTTTACACACTGCACCTGGTACTTATTTGAAGACGAGTTGCACGCACAATTTGTGAAGTAGCGAATGCGAGGTGTGCCAGTCTTACATTAGCTCTTTACATCTGTGCAGTCCAGGCTGGAGTATCTTCATTTCCTCGGTGCCAATGCCACAGCCGAACAGGTTGAGTGTCTGCACAGGCTCTTCTCGATGCTGCAGGATCCAGGAGAGGGCAGCGCAGTCTGGCAGGGACAGCCTTGTGCCTGACAGGTCTATCTCAGTCATGGACCGAGTCACATCACTCAAGTATATGCAGTCGTGCAGCTCGTGCACGCAGTGCAGGAGACTGATGAACCTGTGTTTGTCAACCTTCTGAGTCTTCATGCTGCGATAGAGCCACTCGATTATTTCCTTTTGAGAATCTGCAGATGGAGGATCCAAGATACCCTCAAAGAACTTCCATGGAGTGCTTGATGCTAGTCCACAAAAAAACCTCTGAAACACATCCAACCTCCCATCTTTGCTATCCTCAATAGATTTGATGACGTCACTCACTGGCCATGTTGAATGTGACAGATGCACGGCTATTGCTGCAAAGAATTCCTGCATTGTCAAGTGTAAAAAAGAATAACAACTCCCTTGTTTAATGCCCTCACATGTGAACACTTTGTTGATGAATGTACTTCCTAGTTCAGAAGAACTAACAGCACACTCTTCTAGATCTTTTTGGCTGAACATCTGGATGTTTTGCTGAACCCCCTTCAGAGCCATATTGGCAAGCGGTGATACAATTTCCTTGGCTCTGCGGCTGCCACGTCTATGGTGTACTATGAGCCCAAACACGTATTGTGTGAAGAGGTCGGTCATTGATTTGAGGATAATCTCAGAATGTTCAGACTTTTGAAAATGTTCCTTCAGTGTAATGGCTGCTATATGGCAGAATGAAGGGTTATGGCACAATGTATTCACTGTTTCATTTTCCTGCAGGAGCTTGAGTGCCCTTTCTACTAGACTCCTATCTTGGTAAAATTTGTTAAAGAATGCTACTTTAGCTTCGTTGGAAAACCCAGTGATTTCAACAGCTAGATCAACATTCACTTCACTCAGCTGCTCCATGGCAATGGGTCTGGTCGTTATCAAGACCGAGGCCTTGGGCAAGAGTTTTCCATTCACTAGGGCAGCAATTATGGTTTCTACTGTTGCCGTCTTACGTGGATCAGTACAAGCATTGGCATAGTGAAGGCACTTTCCAAACTCGTCCAATCCATCCATAACAAAAAGGGTTCTCTCTTGGTTTGTGAAAATCTCATTCGCTTTGTTTCCCAAACATGAGTGCAGCTTAGAAAACAGCTCTGCCAGTGACATCTCTCCAACATCATTTATCTCCCTGAACATCATGAGCACAATGTGCTCAAAGCGTTGTGCAAACACTTTCTCTCCTGACAGCAAGCTGTGCACAATGAATTTGCTCAACATGGTTTTACCGCTGCCTGGAGTCCCCACTACAATAACCAGTCGGGGGTGGTTTTGTTCCCCAATGGATTCAACGGGATCAAAGAGATTATTGTAAGTCATCCCTTCTCTCTGTGCTCTCTCCATCATTATCTCGTGCTGCTTGCCTCTCGATAGTAACTCGTGCTCCTTGGTTTCTTGCTGGTGGTAGTAGGGAACCAGAATTGGCTTCACCATCCTCTCTCGCAAAAACACTGCAGGTTCTCCAGGTCGTGCGTTGTAGTCTCGTGTTAATGATGTCAGCTTCAGCAAGAATTCTCGGTAATCATCACCAGGGCTATCTAAATGACACAAATAATTTAACGAGCAAATTAGTTTCACTTACAATAAAAAAAATTCTATAGCAGACAAATATGTTTAAAATAAATTATGTAAAAAAAAGCGTAGCGAATTCGTTCACCATGGATAATGCATCACCATCATGTACATCATGAATTATTGTGTGGAAGTTTTCACAATGTGTATTCTACACATGCATTTTTTTATAAACACTGTACTGTACCTTTGTAAAAAAAAATATCATAACAAAAATGTTACCACCATTTGTCTTGTGTGTTTTTCATGTGAAAAATATAGTACCATCACATTTCGCATTACTGTGTACATCAGCATCATCACAACCTAATTCTATCAATCTGTGTGTAAAATGCACTGCTTGCCTTATCCTACAATTATTATTTTTTGTTGTTTAGGATGTTGAATTTTACTTTTTATATTTCACTGGTATTGGGGTTGTGTTTCCTCTCCCATCTCAAGCTGGCCTACATCACGTAGCAAGGGGGCTACACTGGTGGAGTGCAGTACACCAGGCACGGTCCTAGCAGCAGAGAAGATGAAGTGCTTTCACCTCCACAACAGCCACATGAATTACAGAATTCGTAGCATCCCACGTGTTGCATCGTAGGTTCACTTAAACTTCAAATAATCTGGTTACTGCATCATCAGCAACACTGTGGCAGCCACTACATTGTGGAGAGTGTCTATTTACAATGACAAATTTGCTCAATAACTTCCATCAGCTTTCCAAGGAAACATTGAACCCAGTGGCTCACCACTTGGGCAATGGTGACCATAAGAACCGTGATACCTCTGTATCTGATGTTATTTTAATCTCTCGGGAATCATATATTCAGAGTCATTTAATCACGTCGACTTTTTTTCTAAATGAGAGGGATACAAATTTGACGTTTAATCTGGAGTGAATTATAACCAATCCAGTTTAAGTTTCATTTATTTGGTAAAGCCCTGTGAGCCATTCGGCTCTTGAATCGGGTGCAACCGCAACAAACAAAAACAGGAACAAGAAACATCTTAAAGTGACTACGCGCAAACAGAAAAATCCAGGAAAAAACAGAAAAGTCTTCCAGAAAAAATAGCGTATTTCAACGCTATGTGCAAACATCCCAGTGGGATGCAAGTCAAACAATAACAACCATAATACAATTTAGATTAAAGTTATCAGTCTAACTCTGTACTACAACAAACAAATATGGCTAAACCAAAACGTTTTCGAAATTACCAAAATAAAAGCTTTAAAAGCAATGTAACAGTGATCATAGGAACTAATTTAAATTTTACAATAAACGATATACATAACATGTACTACCAAACTTTGCAGCCATAGCTGGCTGCATGAGTCACTCCATAACAGCAGGAGTATCAGTAGGAGTATCAACATTTTTCAAGAGTTAAGAGGAGAGAGTAGGTTCCGTTTCATGAGTCAATGGCAATAAAAGGCTGGGTGTCATTAGAAATAGCAGTGATAGCTAGTCAATATTTAAAATTAGGAGTAAAAAATGTCCTCAAAGGAGGAGACATTGTACTGAGAAGAGTAGATAGCCAAGGACGTAGCCATGTGGAACACCATAGAATGGGGGCTTCTGAACGGAAGGCAGTCCTTGCTTGCAAAAATAGGGCTCACTTTTAGAGGGGAAGCAGAAGCAATGGGGAAGTGTGAGAGATGCCTGCGTAGCCATGCCGATTCAATAGGATGGAGTGGTGTGTGGTATCCAAAGCAGCCCAAAAGTCAAGAACTAGAAGCAGCTTCCATAATTTAAGAGAGGTGGTCATTCACCCAAAATAGAGGAACAGTTTCAACGACATGGACTTGGTGGAATCTGGATTGTACCAAGTCATGGAGACCATGGCAGCAGATGGGTTTGCTGCCATGGCCACACATCTTGGGCTTCACACTTGAAAGAGAGCTTCATAGCTCATTATATTCTTTTAACTCAAATAAAATGTATGTGTTTGAAGAGGTTAGAGAAAATCACCATGTTGAAGTCTTTTGCAAAGAAAGGTAGGTGTAGGATAGGACAGAAATTCAGGAATGTTGGGGTCCAGTGTGGATGTAATGTTTTGATACTGACACACATTTCCATTATCCATCCATCCTTTCCTCCAAATTTCTGATCCCTTGTACATACCCTGCTATGGAATGGAATATGAATGTCCTCCTCCTGAGAGGGATGTTGTTATGCAAGAGTGGTGCAGTTTGCGAATATCAAATGACAGTTCATATCAGTTCTAAGCAATCTTTCACTTAAACTTGACAGAGACATGTGAATGGATATGTGAAGTTTAGCATCACTCACGAGAAGCTGCTCCAGGGATGGCTTTACCCGCAGATCTGCTCAGATCGACACCCATCACGTAGAGCTGCTGCTCATGTTGTGATATCCACTGAACCAAGGGAGGGATCTCGGATCTCAGCGGCACCAGCACGGCTTCAATGAATCTCATGCACACTGCTTCTCCCTTGTCGAGCACCAGGTCAACCAGGTCCCGTGTTCGTGCAATGGGGTCAGTCTTGCTTTTAAGGGACGCGTATTCACTGTGCAGGACTATCCCTGCTTGTTGTGAATGGTCAAGAACTTCTGAAGAATTCGCCTGGAGGTATGTCTGCAGTTTCACTTTGTTGGTTCTTATGATCTCATATGCAGGATTTGTTAATGCCATCACGACAATGCAGAGTCACCTGAAGAAAATGAAAACAAACCACGTGTCACCTGTAAGCATAGTCGTGTAATTTTAGCCAGGTATGGGAAAGAATAATAATTATTATAATAAAATGCTGCTACTAAAATCTGAGGTCTTGGTTAGGTACAATTGTGACTTGAGGTATTTGATTGTGATTACATTGAGTTATTTAAATTGTAATGTAAGCTTAAAATTGATATTTAAATTTATGTAAATACATCAAATAGCATCGAAACACCTTAGGCATCTCAAAATACTCTTCGGTGCAAGCATATGAACATTCATATGAACACAACACTACGAAAAAAAAGTTAAATGTTAACCTAATTCAAAACACCACACAGGTTTAGCAGATTAAGCAGCTGCGTGACACCACGTACTCACTGCCTCGATCACCGTGATGCAACGCAGACGGCTAATTGCGCTGTAATGTGCATTGATCGGGATAGCGTCACCTCTCGTTGAGTGACGATTAGGATGGAAGTGGAACGGCAGAGGGTGGGAGCCAGGTTTGATCCTGGGTGGTCCCTATGTAGTGGCCACTCCCATGCTCTCAATGTATGGGCAGGGGGTGCTCTGAAGTCTAGCAGTGGTATGATGTCACATACGCTTCACTGAAATTAATGAACATGATCTTTGTAGAGGTGCAGTATGTTTGTGTGGGGAAGCCAAAACTTAAAGTACACGCATGAGGCAGAGTCAGTGTTACTGTGATGTTCATTATGTTACCTATGTCATTGTTTGCCTGTGTGGCTATCAAACCGTGGGGTTTACGTGTAAATCAAATGCCAGGTACCACGCCATAAGCCCCGTGCTGAGCCAGCGCTATTCCGATTTCGCGTCCATCACCTTAAAAGTATTGTATACCTTTAAAGTAGTTTAATTAGCGATTTAGTGCTGTTTTAATTTATTTATTACATAGCACGTGCTCGACCCTACCAACTCACACGCGTTTGGTGGGGGGGAGGGCACCTACCAAGAAGCCCGAAGGCCTGCTATCCTAGGACCCTGGGGACCCGTTGACCCGCTCCCCTTGTAAGGGCCGGGACTGAGCTGGCCAGTGGTCGGACCCGTACCTTGGCTGGGTTGGGTCAGCATAGCCTCCCCTAGGTTCCCTGTAGCCGGAGGGCTGACAGCCGTAGTCCCAGTGATAGCGCATGCTAGCCCGGAGGCCATACCTCCCCAGGTAGTGTTAGGGACCACTAACATTACTGTACTGTACCGTTTATTGTAATAAACGTGTTGCCTCTACGGACCGTCTCTACTCTCGTCAAACCCCTTACACATTGTCTAACACACACATCGACTGACACAAACACACATCGAATCACGCGCACACACACAGCGACTTACACACACACACATCGACATATACACACAATCGACTCACAGACACAACAACAACCGCCATTGGTCACTAAGTGGCATTGACGTCACCACGACGCTTGTGCCAGGCCATGTGCACCTTGAGGCCACGTGAAGTGTCGAACACCCGCTAGCAGGAGGTCACGGGGCAGACCCAGGTGCCACGGGTCGACTGACTGAGATGACTGAGATGACTGGCTGATGCACCACCTGTGCCACCTGCTGTGCCAACTTGCTGTGCTTTAGCCACCCGGCGCTCCGCTCGTTGTTGTGAGCGTTGCTCCTCCGCCCTCCGTTGTTGTTGGAGGGGACTGCCTCCTACTGCCCAGTAGCGTCCTTCACTTGCCTCCTCCACTGAGGCCGATCTTGACACCGCTGGTACCAGTCATTGGCAAGTTCACTCAGCTCCACGTCCTCCTGTACCACATCACTCCATCTCTACTCTAGCCCGTGCCGCGCCATTTTAGCCCCCTCTATCCGGCCAAACAAAAGCTGTTTAGGCATGCGGTGGCTGGGAATGCGGTCTACATGACCAGCCAACGCAGCCTTGCCCGCCAGAGGAGGTCACCGATGGTACTTTGCCCAGATCTTTCAAGGATTTGTGAGCTCCTCACAAATCCTAGACTCGCACACACATCGACCTACACACACACACATATGTACTTACACACACAGAGATATCGACTAACACACACAGACATATCTACTATCACATACACATCGACTCACACACACGCACACACACATCGACTTACTCACACACACCGACTTACTCACACACACCGACTTACACACACATACATAGACTCACAAACACATCGACCTACATGCACACACATTGACTTACACACACACATGAACCCACGCACACACATCGACTCACACACGCACATAGAGCCACACACACATCCATTTACACGCAGACATATCGACATACACACACATACAGCGACTCGCACACATCAACGCACAAACAAACACATCAACTTACTGTTAAATATTATTTTTTTATACGCACACACCATGCACAAATGTGTAATGACAATGTGGATCGATAGTGAGACAGTATGGTTCCCCGGGACCATGGTTACTAATGGACGAGCTAATGATGATTAATGAGACAAGCATTGACAGGGTCACGTAAGGGGAAGCACGGGATCCATTGGCGGGAAAGTGTAATAAGGGTGGTGATCGGCAGGGCCAGGTGTGGTTAGGAGAATTCGGGAATGAGGGCGTGGCCGGACCGGGCGAGGATAAGTAGGAGCGCGAACGGAGGCTTGGGGCTACTTGGTTTGGGGAACTGCCGTGGTCGTTGCCTTGGATTGGGTCGTCTCCTTGGATTGGGTCGTCTCCATCGCCTGCGAGTTGTCTAGAGATTGGAAGCTATGTTGTCTCAGAATAGAGTTGTGTCAATACCCAAGTGTACGGAGTCACTCGCGGTTACGTGTTGAATTGTCATTGGATTTCATTCTTAATAGATATACAGAAGACAAGACAACGTCTCTGAGAGCTACATTACACATACATAGGTCAGTTTAACATGTAGGCTTTCGCGACCAATATTATTCATCTTCTTTGGTTCTTTCGGTAAAGTCACGTAGAATGAGAATAAAATAATACATTGATAAAATAAAATAACACAATAATATTCTCACGACGTTTTGGCCACAACACAAGCGGCCTTCATCAGGTGAAGGGGACGAGACTCTCTGGAGGACAGCGCTGGAGTGAGAAAGCCACGCTGAGATCACGACCTTTAAGCTGTGTGAGAAGAAACAAAGCGCCTTGACAAAGGAATTAGCATATAATTTAGCATTGAAATGGCTGAGTGATTAGCTTGTGACTGGTCACAGAAAAGGCTATGTTAAAGTTAAAGCATACACATCCGCAAAGGCACCCCTTGACAAAGGAATTAGCATAGAATTTAGCATTGAAATAGCTAAGTTAAAATATACACATCCGCAGAGGCACTCCTTGACAAGTGAATTAGCATAGAATTTAGCATTGAAATAGCTGAGTGATTAGCTTGTAACTGGTCACAGAAATAGCTATGTTAAAGTCAGAGCATATACATTCACCAAGGCAACTAGTACAAATCAAACAGGAGAATTTAGCATTGAAATAACTAGGCGAATTTAGCATTGAAATAACTGAGTGATTAGCTTGTGACTGGTCACAGAAATGGCTATGTTGAAGTTTAGGCCTACACATCTGAGCTATTCACAGTAACTGGGTATACAATAAAATATATAATGAATACTATATAGTGAACCAATAAAAAATACTAAAATATAAATTACCTCAATGTTATCAATGAACTCTATATTCTCCAATCAGCTAAGCTACCAACAATAAGTCGTTATATATCACAATGCTATATGGCGAAAAATGGGTGGATTCTTACCCTCAACTTTAGCAACACGGATAGCTACGGGTCCTGTTCAGACGGACGAGTTCATCCATGGTCGGAACAGAGGAGGGGGAGAGAGACAGCTGCGAGGCGCTGTTATACTCCATTTTGTAAACCATACCATTAACCGTGGTATGAGAAGTATTAAGAGTCAATGCCAGCGAAAGAGCTGCGGTCTGAAGGTCATTGTAAAATACAAAAACCATCACCTTACCCTACATTGCAGGGGTCACTAAAAAGATCTCCAAAATCCTGAATAAACACAAGATCCAGGTCCGATTCAACACAGTACATAAAATCCGTGATCTAGTTCCATCTGTAAAAGATGCTGTTCCAGACATACAGTACCCGGGCGTTTACAAACTAAAGTGCCTCTGTGGTAGTAGCTACATTGGAGAAACCAAACGACATATCTCGGACCGCATCCGCGAACATAAAGCGGACTTGAAACACGGTAGAACGAACTCCTCTGCCGTGGCAGATCACTGTTATAATTCAGTGGGCTCATTTGACATTGACTTCTCCAAGACGGAGGTTCTTTGCAAACCAACCGGCTACCATGAGAGATTCGTTGAGGCCATTCACATATACAAGCACAGAGACAATTTCAATCGAGAAGATGGATTCTGGCACTAGTAACCATTGGAAAGATGTTTTAAACCATTTCCGTTCTTAATTAATTGTATTTTACAATGACCTTCAGACCGCAGCTCTTTCGCTGGCATTGACTCTTAATACCTCTCATACCACGGTTAATGGTATGGTTTACAACATGGAGTATAACAGCGCCTCGCAGCTGTCTCTTTCCCCCTCCTCTGTTCCGACCATGGATGAACTCGTCCGTCTGAACGGGACCCGTAGCTATCCGTGTTGCTAAAGTTGAGGGAAGAATCCACCCATTTTTCGCCATATAGCATTGTGATATATAACGACTTATTGTTGGTAGCTTAGCTGATTGGAGAATATAGAGTTTATTGATAACATTGAGGTAATTTATATTTTAGTATTTTTTATTGGTTCACTATATAGTATTCATTATATATTGTATTGTATACCCAGTTACTGTGAATAGCTCAGATGTGTAGGCCTTAACTTCAACATAGCCATTTCTGTGACCAGTCACAAGCTAATCACTCAGTTATTTCAGTGCTAAATTCGCCTAGTTATTTCAATGCTAAATTCTCCTGTTTGATTTGTACTAGTTAGCTCGGTGAATGTATATGCTCTGACTTTAACATAGCTATTTCT